CCACACAAAGATCTCAGTAAAATTTTTAAAGCCCAGGCTCCCGAGTGAAAGGTTTACAAAGAGGTACTTGAATCCTTTGTTAACAACTGAACAAACAAATTCATCATCAGGCCCTTCTCCTGTGTGGCCCCCTTACAATTCAGTCTGTATTTATAACTAGAAATTCCCTCACTGCTCAAGCATTTATGACTGATATAACAGACCATCATGGCAGATATGTGGAGGGTAGGAAACAAAAGGACATTTCACGGTTCATAACCTATTTTTGCACTTCTTTGGGTAAACTGATGATGTGCCGGCTGCTATCCACACCTCACTCAAGTCCTCTGAGTTAAACAGTAATAGAGCGCCATGTGAACGGTAATCAAGTTACACTTGAGTGGACTGCTCCATTCCCACCCTCCCCAATAGTTTAAACACACCTTGCCTGTAGTTTCATGTACTTATATGTTTGTGTATATGCTTAATATAAAATAATCAACCTGGCCTTGTATTTCAGAAGAGCAGGTGATTAACTCTTTGCTGTCTTGAGGCTCTTAGACCAATCCCCTGCCCCTCAAATGCCTTTCTTCTTAAGATCATAATTTAACTTCCATGGCATTTGGGTAGCCTCTTTTAAATGCTAACATTTACAGAAAGGGAATATGGTTTATTTTCTTTCTGAATTGTCCTCAAGTTGATTTTCTCTTCTGCTGGTACCAAATATGTCCATTGAATTTTGAATGTCAGTTACTTTTTATTTCTAAAAGTTCTATTCGGTCTCTTCACATTTTCCATGTTGCTATTTATAGTTTCCTATTCTCTCAAGATGCTTTCAAGCTTGTCATTTGTTTTTTTTTTTTAATTTAAAAAGCATAATTGGTTTTATAATCCTAATAAATTGGTCTGATAATCCTATATTGCAAGTCCGTGCAGGTTGGTTTCCACGGTCTATTGCTGGTCCTTGCCCTTGTAGTGCTGTTTCCATGTATGCTAGGTTATATTTGACTGTGTGCTGTTCATTGCCCTTAGAAATTTATTTCTGGTTGATTCCTAGATATGTAGGATGAATATGCTTTCCTTCAGAGAGGTATTTCTTGTGTTTTTGCCAGGCACCTGGAGCCATAACAAGTGAGTCTGCCTCAAACCAAATTCAAGGTGTGAGGTTTCCCAGCCCACCCTGAGTATGTATTCCCAGGGTGCAAATTCACAGGAAGGCCTTTCTGTGACACAACTCACTAAGAACTGTATACACATTTTTTTCCTTTCTTTTTTTTTCTCCTCTTCTGCTCAGCGCCAAAGATGCCTTTTCCACAATCCCCAAGGGCAAGTTTAGTCCTGATTCACTTTTACTCTGAGGGTGTAGCTCTTTGGGGGTCTCAGTTTAATGTGAGAAGGGTCTTCTATTACACTTCCTAACTGAAGTAGGCCCGGGGCTTTAATGTCTATCCCACTTATCTGCCCTTCTCAGGCTACAGAAATCCTTGACTTCTACCTGCAAATAGGTGTTACCAGATTAAAAAATAAAACACAGAAAAAAAGAAAATACTGCAAAGTACCTAAGAGTTTAGAGGCTGGAAGCAAAACAAAGTCAGGCTAGTATTATGGCGGTTCCTCAAAAACCTAAACATTGAATTACCATTTTATTCAACAACTCAACTTCTGGATCTACGCACAAAAAACGTCAGGACTTGAACAGATATCTGTACACTAATAATCACTGGCAGCATTATTCACAATAGCCAAAAGGTGGAAACAACCCAAGCATCCACTGACAATAAAGGGTAAACAAAATGTGGCATGTATGTACAATGGAATATTACTGAGCCTTAAAGTGAAATGAAATTCTGTCACATGCTACAACATGGATAAAACTTGAAGACGTCAAGTGAAATAAGCCAGATACTTATATGAGGTACCTAGAATACTCAAATTGATAGAGATGGAAAGTAGAAAAGAGGTTACCAGGGGTGGGGGGAGGGAGGAATGGGGAGTTATTGCTTAGGATAACTTTCAGTTTGGGATGTTAAAAAAGTTCTGGAGATGGATGGTAGTGATGGTTGCACAACAATGAAATGTACCTAATGCCACTGAAACGTACATTTAAAAATAGTTAATATGGTTGTCAAAACTCATCAACCTGTAAGCTTAAAAATGAGTACATTTTATTGTATGTAAATTATATCTCAATAAAGCTGATCTTTAGAAATAAATAAACTAGTTAAAATGGTAAATTTTATGTTATATTTATTTTACCACAACAAAACATTTTTAAAAGCAGGTCAGGCTAATTTTGCCAAGGGCTGCTACTCAGTAAATTCCACAATATGCTTTGTGTGCACAGACTTAATACTGATCAGTCAAAAGACTTAGAAGGAAATTGCTGAGTGTCTTAAATGCAAATCTGACCTTCCTACAACTTTAGAGACTACATACTGAATATGCAAAAACTAGCACTGTATGTCAAATGCATATATAATTGCAAATTTCCCTTTAAAAAATAAAAATGCAAAAACTTTTCCTTCAAAGGTATCAGGCATTAGAAATGATGTAAGCATAGTTATTTGATTGTTGATCTCCAGTACTGATGGAACTGTTAAGTAAATATTAGGGAAAAATGGAAGGGATAAGAGAAAGAATTCTCTCTAAAGTATTTCCATTAAAACAATAAACAAATTTCTTTTTTCAGTATCTATTTAATACTGCTGTATGCCTGGACTTCTCCTTTCTGAACCATTGCATATAATTCTGTTACACACAATATGTACACATATAATCAAATATAAATGGGGCATGAGATAAATCTATAGTTAACTTATTTTAACATACAGATAAACGTTTTAAAAACAGGTATTTTAGTAATGCTGGGAGTCTCTAAATTTCTCCTATTTTTAAAAAATAATTAAACACATAAGAGTCCAGCTCAGAATATTTTATGAACACATCTGGGTGTAAATACTAAACACTAGGTAATACCATAAAATAAAAAATTGGTGGGCTGGCCGCTTAGCTCATTTGGTTAGAGCGTGGTGTTGTAACACCAAAGTCAAGGGTTTGGACCCCCGCACAGGTCAGCCGCCAAAAAAAACCAAAACCAAACAAACAAAAAAAATTGGCAACAATAGAAGAAATATTCTGCGTTCATTACGACTTCATGAATGATATGTGCTGAGGGCCACCATGTTGCAAATACAAAAAACATACCAACATGTCTCTAGCTATATTAATTCCAAATGACTAGGAACATGACTGCTTGGAACATAATAAAAGACCTCAGGAGAGCTGTCAATTAATTGTGAAGACTCTTCCTACTTTAGACATACAATGATAGTAGCTAATACTTGCTCACTGCATACAATATACCAAACACCTTTCTTTTTTTTTTTTGTCCTTTTTTGAAACCAGCTGCACCGCGCTCAGCCAGTGAGCACACCGGCCATCCCTATATAGGATCCCAACCCGCGGCGGGAGCACTGCTGCACTCCCAGCACCACACTCTCCCAAGTGCGCCACGGGCTCGGCCAACCAAAGACCTTTCTAAGGGGTATATATAGAACTCATTTAATCCTTACAACAATCTTCTGAGGTATATACCAATAGGATCCCCATTTCAAAAATAGGAAAGCTGAGGCAAAGGGAAGTTTGGGCTCTCCTGAGGTCACAGAGCTGGTGAGTGGTGGAGGGTGGATGCAAGTCTTGGCTACAGAGCCCACACTCTTAATTACTATGCTCTAGAAATTACGTGAGAAGGTTGGTACAGTAAAATTGAGGGGGCTTTGATTCTGGAAGGAAGCACAAAGCACCACATGCCTATAGGAACAGAAGCAGAGAGTGGGTTGGCATCTGATTGGTGAGAACTACTGGGGGTGGTAATAAAGGGACATAAGTAGGCCCCACGGGGTTCCACTTCCTCTAAGTATCCAGAACCCACATCTGCCTGACCCTCTCACCCTGTTAACCGAGACCTCTCTTTTCACCAGCGAACCTATGCAAGTAAGGTCATGCTTCTCAAGTTGCACAGCTCAGGGGATCCTTGCACAAAGGCTCTAAAACTGGGCAGATCAGGGGAATCATTATATTTTTCTTACTAAAAAGGCTGAGGTGTGCTTCCAACACTAGTTGTTTTTCGGGTTTGTTTCTTTTTATTGCTGTTGCATCTCTATTTTTAATAAAGAAATGAGCTATTTAACCTTGGTGCACCTTTGTGAGATGAAACACCACGTAACAATCACTGTGATGACTACGACCGTCACCACCATCGATCATCACTTACCTTTGGGCAAGGCATTGTGCACAGGCCACACGTAACTTAAACCTCACAAAAATGTGCATCAGAATTTCTGCTAACAAGCACCTGTGTCAGAAATGCTTGTCATACTTGTTAAATAATGAACACTCTTGAACTCAACCCTAGAACTATTCCATCAGAATCTCTAGGGGAGGGCCTGAGAATCAGTATTTTAAGCAAGTACTCCAAATGATTCTTCTCTTGGCAAATGAGTCCATATTTTACATATGATGAATCAAGAGGTAAAGTGACTTGATAAAAATAACATCACTAAATATAGCATTTGAACTTGATCAGACTTCAGAAACTGGGCTCTTAACTGCTCTGCAGCTCAATGTTTAACAACTAAGCTTGTGGTTTAAAAAAAAGGCAAGAGAGATTGCCTTTAAAGGCCACAAGATCTACCACCAACAACCTGCATAACATAATACAATTTACAATTAACCAAACCACTAATCTCTGGAAACACACAGAAAGGTTTCTTTTTTTTTTTAATTAAAAAAAAAAAAAAAATTTAACGATGAATGATATGCTCTCTGAACCCCAAACAATTCATTTCACTTTAACAAGATTTAAGCATCTTTTAGCAAATTCAATGCTTCATCAAATGGCACTGCTTATATTAGAAGAGCAACCAAATCCCCCTAGTAATTAGACAAATATGGGAGACTCAAAGCAGAGTAAATCCGTAAGCGATTAGAGGAGTCAGGCAGTAACGAAAGCTCTCTCTTACCACAAGAGGTTGACTTTCTATCCACCAGGTTCACCCGCCTGGTTTCAGTGCGAAGTTTTTCATCTGTGTTCTCCACCAGGTTGGCAAGGTCATCAATTATCTCTAGAAAGGAAAGCAAAGACTTATGATTACTGCTCCCGAAATACCCTGGTTCGCATCACAGTCTCATAGCTCCAGTAGTTCTTCCTAGTAATAATTCTCTCAAGAGCAGTGATGAAAATGTACAGAACACAAGTATATTCTTTGAAAGCTGCAATTCTGATTCAATAAGGCAAAAAAATGAAATATTTTTTTAAACTAGTAGTAAAGAAAAACAACTGGCTTAACACAATTCCAGGAGACAGAAGAAAAATGTCAAGTTCAGGGAAAGAAAGCATAACCCAACGAGTTTAAGCCCAGCCAAGTTGTCATCAAGTATAAAGGTGACAGATTAGGTACAGAAGACTTCAGGGACTACCTAGGTCCTTCTTGAGAAAACTACTTGATGATGAAATCCAGCCAATCAAGAGACGAATAAAACTAAGGAACTTTAATGGAGAAGCCAGAGACCACGACGTAAGAGATGACGGTGAGAACTGAATCCACTTAAATATGGAACTAAGAATAGACAGATATATGCATTAGATTATACAAAGGTATATAAATGCTACAAACAGTGACAAATATAATTCCAACTGAAAAATTAGGCATCAGTTGGGAAGGGAGAAGGAGGATGAAAACAAGTTGAAAGTGCTAATTTCTTCATCTCTCACAGTGACTCACATTAAGCTTTGAAAGATTTAACATATAGATATTTATAGCTTCTTAAAATCACCAAAACTTCAATGTTTTACGTAATTTCTTTTGTTAACCTTGATGGATCTTTTAATAATTGCTACTTCTTGTGAAGAATCCTTTATGTGAAGTTCACCTTTTTTTAACACACTAATCTTTTTAAAGTGAAATTAAGCACTTTACAACATTTAAAATAGCATATATAATATGATCTTAATTATGTGAAATTATTTCTATCTATCCTTTTATATTTATAAGCCTATAGTGAGACATGTGGATGGTGTTAATCTAATGTTAATAATGATTATTTCTAGGTGGTGGGATCCTGTGTGATTGATGGTTTTCTTTCTTGTATTTTTCTGTATTGTTTAAATTTCTTATGAACATATATAACTTTTTCAATTTTGATTCTCCTTCTTCCCTCCTTCCTTCCACTATTCCTCTCATTTTCCAGTGACTGCTTTGGACATGCATTGTTTTTTTCTTAAAGCACTAAATAAAGCAAACAAGGAAGTCAAAGAAAGTTTCCAGAATGACAACTGATCTGAGTTTAGAAACTCATGTGGGTGAAAAAGCAGGAAAAGGGCAATCTGTGCAGAAAGAATAGTATCTAAAAGGCACAGAAGAGTTGTGTGTTCCTTTTGCTAGCCTCCGGCAGCCCTTCCTACAAACCTCCTCCTACTTATAGACCCTTACATGTTGTATTCTATTTGTTTACATGTCTTTCTTTTACAGAGAGAGTATGACATAAACTAACTTTTTTATTTACTCCTATATCTCTCACCCCTAGGATAGTGCCTAGCACAGAGCAGGATAAAATAAATATGAAAAATTAAAGGCAATGAATGAATGAAGCCTAAAGGATAAAAGCAGTGAATAATTCTCACAGCACTTCGCTGCTTCTGAGAAAACTGAGTCTAAGCCAAATTTGTCAAATATTATCTAAGCAACACCTGCTTAGAAAATCTTTCACTATTATTTAACAATTCATTTATAACTCTCTATTCCCTTCTATTCCATAACATATTCTCTCCCGGTTTTCCTTCCATCTATTTAGAAACTCTGTCTAGAGTCTCTTCTCTTAAATGTGGGTGATCCTCAGAGTTTTGTATTCTTACTCTGTAATGCTATGGTGACTTTATATACCTTTTACTTCATTGACATCTATTTAGAAACTCTGTCTAGAGTCTCTTCTCTTAAATGTGGGTGATCCCCAGAGTTTTGTATTCTTACTCTGTAATGCTATGGTGACTTTATATACCTTTTACTTCATTGATGTTTAAATTAAAAACCTGAAAATGTTCTGCTCTAGGTAGCACTCCAAAACTCTTGATCCATATAGCCAGCTTCCTACTACTGATAATCTACCTTGAAATACCAACAAACATCCTACTCTTAGGGTCTCTAAAACTAAACCCCTCATTTTCCCCAAAATTTGACTCCCTTCCTATATTCCCTGTCTCAATTAATGGCATCATCATTCATTTGCTTGCCCAAGCTAGAAATCTTAAGAGTCCCTTGGCCTTCTCCCTTCCCCTCCTTCATCTGACATTCCATTTGTTAGCCACTTTCATGTTTAACACCTCCCCAGTATCTCTCAATCCTAACATTTCTCTTAAACTGTTACTTATCTTTCTTTCTCTTGTCTTGAATCCTTTCAATCCATTATCCATACAGAGCCATGAACATATTTTTATTTTCTCATATGCTATGGTCTGAGTATCATTTGCCCCCACCAAAATTCATATTGAAATTTGATCCCCAATGTGGCAGTGTTGGGAGGTGGGACCTAGTGAGGGGTTTTGGGGTCATGGGGGACAATCCCACATGAACAGATTAATGCCCTCCCTTGGTGGTGGGAGAGTTAGTTCTCACTCTATTAGTTCCCATGAGAACTGGTTGTTAAAAAGAGACTGGCATCTTCCCTTCCTCTCTCTTGCTTCCTCTCTTGCCATGTAATCTCTTTGCACACACTGGCTCCCCTTCCACTTTCTGCCATGAGTGGAAGCAGCCTGAGGCCCTTGTCAGATGAAGCTGCCCAGTCTTGGACATTCTAGCCACCAAAATTGAGAGCCAAATACATAAATTTTATAAATTATCCAGTCTCAGGTATTCTGTAATAGCAACACAAAATGAACTAAGACATCATATTTCAGTTATTTAAAATTTAAATAGCCACATGTGGCTAGTGACTATTGTACTGAACAACACAGCTCTAAAGCAATAACTTTAAAAAAAGAGAAAAAAGAAAAGAAAAGCAATGCACACATGCACACCCTAGCAAGAGTTACAGCTTTAAAAAATCAATAGAGGGAATAAAATTAAATACTAAAAATGTATGATTCACCTAAAAAAAGGCAAGAAAGGAGGTATGGAGGAACAAAGGACAGATGGGACAAAAAGAACAGAAATACCTAGATAGCATACTTAAACTCAACTGTATCAATAGTCACATTCAATATAAATGGACTTAACTCTTCAATTAAAATACAAAGACTATCTGGCAAAATTTTTTTAAAAAGATGATGATGACATAACTATATGCTTTCAATATAAAGCATAGTGTTTACATAAGGAGCTGGTATGGCTATATTAATATCAGGCCAGATAGACTTCCAGACAAAAAGTATTATCAGAGATAAAAATGAAACTTCTCATCAAGACAAAAGGACACATGTGACCAAAATGGAAAATTCCCCAGTACTTGAAAATTATGGAAACCACCTCTAAATTACCCACAGGACAAAGATGAAATCACAAGAGAAAGCAGAAAATATATTAAACTGAAATGATAATGACAACTACTACAGACTGGATGTTTACGTGCTCTCAAACTTCATATGTTAATACCTAATCCCTAATGTAATAGTATTTGGAAGTAAGGCTTTTGGGAAATAATTAGGTCATAAGGGTAGAACCCTCATGAATGAATGAATGCCATCCCATGAATGGGATTTGTGCCCTTATAAAAGAGGTCCCAGACAGCTCCCTCATTCCTTCCACCATGTGAGGTTACAGCAAAAAGACACCTGTCTATTAACTGAGAAGCAGGCTCTCACCAGACACCAAATCTGCCAGCACCCTGACCTTGGACTTCCCAGGCTCCAAACAGTGAGAAATAAATTTCTGTTGTTTATAAGCCACTCAGTTTATGGTGTTTTGTTATAGCAGTCTGAACAGAACAAGACAACAATCTGACATAAATTTTGTGGGATGCAACTGAAGCAGTGCTTAGAGAGAAGTTTATTGCTCTAAACGTATATATTAGAAAAAAAGAAAGACGTAAAAAGCCAATGATCACACTAAAGCACATGATCATATGATCATCTCAATTAATGCAGAAAAAGGAACTGACAAAATTCAGTGTCCATTTATGTGATACAAATTCTCAGCAAAATAAGAATGAAAGACAACTTCCTCAGCCTGATGATGAAGGGCATCAACACTGAACCATTTTTCTCTAAGATCAGGAACAAAGCAAGGATATCTGCTCTGATGACTTCTGTCAAACATTTTATTAGATGTTCCACACTGTTCAATAAGGAAAAAAAAAAAAGACAAAAATATTTGAAAAAAAGATGTAAAACTGCATATTTGCAGATGACATGATTGAATATATAGAAAACCTTATGGAATCTATTTAAAAACTACTAGAACTAATAGAGTTTAACAAATTTGCAGACACAAAATAAATTTTAAAATGCAATGTATTTCTATATATTTACTTGTATTTAGAAAAAAAAAGAAAAAAATCATTTGTAATAGCATCAAAAGCTACATCAAATAATCAGAAATAAATCTAACAGAAGATGTGCAAGACCTCTATGATGAAAACAGTAAAACAATGCTGAGAGAAATAAAAGAGAGCCTAAATAAACAGAAAGCTATACCATGTTCATGGATCGGAAGACTCAATATTTTAAAAATATCTGTTCATGTTTCTCAATTGATGCATAGATTCAATGCAATCCCAATCAAAACCCTATTATGCTTTAAAAATGAAATTAGCAAGCCAATTCTAAAATTCACATGGAAATGCAAAAGATTTAGAATAGACAAAAAAATCTTGACAAAGAAAAAACAAAGTTGGAGGTGTTATACTACCCAGATTCAAGATTTATTATAAATATATACTAATCAAGACAGCATGGTATTGGAATAAGGACAGATAAATAGATCAATAGAACAGAACATAGAATCCAGAGATAGACCTGTGTGTGCATGCTCACACGTGTGTATATACTCAATTCTTAACGAAGGTACTGACGACAAAGTCAATCAAATAGGGAAAGAAAAGTCTTTTCAACAAATGATGTTGGAACTGGACA